AGGGGATCTGTTTTTAAAGTTTCTTGGAATCAACTCTCTTTCATCACGAGTGACCTAGGTAGTCACTTCTACTTGTGAAAGGACAACTGCATGCACTTTCGTTTGTAAAAGGGTAGCTCCATTCTTTGTCTGTGATCTAGGTAAAGAAATACAGAATATTGCCGGGGAAGGTGCACCTGAAAGGAATGGTATGTAAGCAGACCCAGGAGAACCACATGAGGGCTCACTGTGTTGCCCAGGCTAGTTTTGATCTCCTGGGTTCTAGTGATCTTCCCTCAGCCTCCTGAGTAGCTGGGATACAGGCATGTGCCACCACACCTGGTTTACAATCTTAATATTTTTAAAACTGAAATCATTCTCTTGGGGAACAGTAGGTAGTAAGGCTGCAGCAATCACAGGTCACACGTTCAAGCCAAATAGCCATAGATGCATGGTTTTAAGAATAGGGGAGACGATGCTAAGAGCTGCTTTAGAGGGCGTGAGGGTGTTGCCAGCTTCCAGAAAAGGAAGGGGTTCTCATCACCTGGATGTCACATGTGCCGGTTTCCAGGGCCTTAATAAGCCACAGTGATTGAACAGAGTCTTGCAACCATTTCAACATTTGACAGAAAGTTTGGTCCTGTTTGGTCATCTCAGAATTGAAGCTTGGATCAAATACTACAAGTAAAAACAAATGGATCGGAAATGTCAAGAAAAAATCTGATATTGTAACGCTTCTGTAGTAGCTCTTAGATTCACAGGATGCCAGACTGGCTTTTGCCGGATTAAAAATTATTTCCTTGCTATTAGATGCCAAGGTCCCCAGCTGGGAACAGAGGGGAATGTGTTTTTGTAATTTAAAATCCCTGGTCACTCAGCGGTTTATTTCTCTTTATCCTACTCCTGATAGCAATAGCTCTTATTTTGTTTTTTCTTGATTTGTGTGTCTGTATAGTTATATTTTCTGACAAATAAATGAGGATTTTTTTCAACTACCACACTGTGGTAAATCTAGAGGATTACTATGCCTTAAAAAAGTTTAAGAATGCTTATAATATATGCTCCTATCATTCACCAGTTGTTCTTTAATTTCAAATATCATTGTCTACATCTTTTCCTGGTCACTAAAAAAACTTGAAATATATAGCTGGATATAAATGGCTTGCAAGTCTAATGTGTGTTTTCAGCAGTGGTGCAATTACAGCTCACTGCAGCCTCGACCTTCTGGGCTCCAGTGATCCTCCCACCTCAGTCCCCCCAGGTAGCTGGGACCACAGGCATGCACCAACCATGCCTGCCTAATGTTTGTATTTTGTAGAGACAGGGTCTCCCTATGTTGCAGGGTCTCCCTGGTCTTAAACTCCTGGGCTCAAGCGATCCTCCCACCTCAGCCTCCCAAAGCTTTGGGATTACAGGCATGAGCCATTGTGCCTGGCCAACAGGCATTTTTGAGTACCCATTGTTTGCTTAACAGTGAGGACACTCTGTCAAGACTTCCATCATCATCAGACTGCACATACTAGGATTAGCTGTTGCCAGTTAATGGAGAAACAAAATTGCTTTCCTGTAGTGAAATTTTGGATGAAGTAGGGTTCTTCAGAGAAACAGAACCAGTAAGACACACACACTCTCTCTCTCTCTCTCTCTCTCTCTCTCTCTCACACACACACACACACACACACACACACTCACTCACTCACAGACATGGGATTTATTGTAAGGAATTGGCTTATATGATTGTGGAGGTTGAGAAGTCCCAAGTTCAGTTGGTAAGCTGGAGACCAAGGAAAGCCAATGGAAATATTTCTAGTTCAAGTTCAAGTCTGAAGGCAGGAGAAGACTGATGTCTCAGCTTGAAGAGTCAGGCAGAGCAAGCAAATTGTCCCTTACTCAGGCTTTTTGTTCTCTTCAGGCCTTCAGCAGGTTGGATGAGGCCCACCCACACTGAAAATAGCCATGTACTTAGTCTAGCAATTTAAAATGTTAATCTCATCCAGAAGCAACCTTGCACACACTCCTAGCGTATTTTTTTTCCACTGAGGCAATATATTTGTAAATATGTATTACATCCTTATAAAAAGAATCCCAGGATTTTTCCTCCTATGGGTTTTTGTCCTGCTTCTTCATGGTCTGTGATCCCAGCTGAGGTTGCTTCACGGTCTGTGATGTCAGTGCAATTAAACCAAACTGGTGGGGTGGGAGCAGATTATTCTGCCACTTTTCTAGATTTTTGAGTTGCACATCAAATCTGGGACTGATTACTCCATACTTTTTTAGCCTGCCTGTGAGGTTCACATCAATTTTTTTTTTTTTTTTTTTTTT